TCATGAGAAAACACCGGACAAGCACCAGCTAAAGGACAGTCTACAACATCCCTCTCTTTCATGAGTTATAAAGGTCATGAAAAACGAAGACTGAGGAAGTGTCACAGATCAGAAGCCAAGAAGACACGACACCTAAATGCACTGTGGTGAAATTGGATCAGAAGCAGGATCACAGAACAGAAAACAGGTATGTGAGTGGAAAAATCGGTGAAGATGAATAGAGTGTGTAGTCTGGTTATAGTATTGATGTTAGCGTATTAGTCTTGATCGCTCTACCACATTCAAGGTGTTCACAAAAGGGGAAGCTGGGGTAGACATATATGTGAGCTCTGGACTCTTCTGACTCTTCAGTAAACCCAGAGTGACTTCAGAACAGAGAGTTAAAAAGATAAATGTAATCATAGTTTATTAGTTTATCATCTTGCCTTAGAGTAATCGAAGAGAATGGAGCTCCTAGACTCTCCTTTGTGAGCAGGAAAGGAGATGCTCAGAATGATCTGTGTCAGTAACCGAGAAGGATGGAGGGTAGCCCGCCATGCCCTGACTGCCACAGGCTCCGGGAGTGGTTTGGTCAGCTGCTTTATAGAGTTACTTTCCGGGGTGATTTGTCTCAAGTTTGGTGTCCTAGCTTAAAATGACAAGTATGAATAATACCTATGAATCAAGCTTTTTTTTTTTTTTTTTTGAAGTTAGGATAAATGTGAACGGATTCCCACTGGGCCCAAAATCTGATATATTCTGAGCTTCAGGAGAAGCAGGCCAGTATAGGACTCGGATGAAGAGCCGTGGGGCTCTGCGTCAGCAGAGGAAAGGGATGAAGGCTTCCAGTGCCCTCTGTAAGGATTCAGGCCCCAGAGCCAACCTGGCAAGCGGTGCTAAAGCAGGTATGAGCCACAGCAGGCATTCTCAATATTAATCTGGGGACCTTGAGCTCTCATGGCTTGGGCACCTGCTTGAGTTTAGGCAAGTTACTTAAAGCCTCTGGGCCTGATACCTCCTTGTAAAATAGTAATTTAGACTGCACTACATGCTTCCCCCACACTATTTTTCTAGCTCCTTTGCAGGAAGAGTAATAGTAATAGTACCAGAGAGGACTGAAGACTTCTGGAAGGCTCACTGTGTGCCAGACTCAATATTAAGAGCTATCTCCATGCTCACAAGGAGCCTGTCAGAAAGTACTACCATTATTCCACTCTGCAGAGAGGGGAACGGGCTTAGATAGGCTAAACGACCATGAGAGCTGATTCCAACCAAGGTAGTTCAACTCACGCACCCACACCCTTAAGCATGGAGCACACAGTCTGCCCAGGGGTAAAGACTGCTCCAAGTATGGGCTGAGTTTGGGCACCAACCACCCACAGCCCTGGCGGATGCCTTGACAGCCACCTCTTGAGAGCCCCAAGCACTGGGTTCGGGTGGTTACTGCATATTGGATAGAAATGATTTTCTTTCACACCCACGGTTCTCTGACAGGTGGATACTATTATGGACATGCAGATATGTTTCAGTGGCTCAGTCAAGGTTACTCAGCTATAAGGTAATGATATCAGCTTCCACCCCAGTGCCTAGTTCTGACTCCATGGTTGTATTCCTTCCACTCTGATGACAGAAGGGGGCACGTTGATTTCAAACCGGTCTTAGAATTCAGTCCTCCTAAAGGAACCGATTACTCCAAACATGAGGCCACTAAGGTACCAGGTCTTTAGATGTCCTGCAGTAAGCTCCTCCTCAGGAACACCTGTTCTCAGCACAGCCCTACCTTTGCCATCATGAGTCCAGAAGAGAAATGCTATTATCATCCCTCAGCTTACCCCTTGCTGCCACACGGCCTACCCCTGCTCCGTGGCCCCCTAAACAACGCTAGTCATAAATAAATGCCTCTGACCATGTGGAATTCAGTGTCAGCACTGCCTTACTATTTCAGATACAGAAATGATAGATATGTTCACACTTTTCCCCACTAGCTAGTAATTTTATCAAAACAGGATATATGTTCACGTGACATAAATAGTTCTTACAGGAGAGTACCCCATGCTGGTCCCTGGGTTCTTCACTAAGTTCTCACAGCCATCTGCTTCCTGACTCAATCTTGAAAGTTGCCAGGAATCAACAGCAAATGTATTGACATGCACCACAGACAACGTTTCTGTCTTTTGATTAGGGCCCTGCCTGACAACCACTTCAGGTTATCTCTGCACTCATGTGACAGAGATAGTGTGAGACTAGCTACAGCACAATAAACCTGCTCCAGTGACCCAAAAGTATATCTTATAAAAGAAGAAAAAAACACAGCTAATGTCTAACGTCTACTCTGTCATCTTGATATTATCCTGGCGCATTCCTATATGTAACTATTCATAGTTGGTATCCATTTCCTTGGCAACACTCATCAAAATTATTCAAATACATGTAAATATATATGTAAGTGTATACATAATATATATTCACTACTTATACACACTACATATATTTATATATACACACACACACACACACACCCTATTTGCATGTTTACGGTATACAGATGTCTATATGTGTACATATCCTAGGTATATATAAACATTTAGGTATACAGGTACAAACACACACATGTATGTACATGTTATGTCTATGCATGTATATATCACATACATCCTAGAATATTACTGCCAACAGTTATAACTAAAGGGATTTGGGAAGTGAAGGAAGAGCAGAAGAGGACCAGAGCGGGGCTTGGGTCTTAAGGGCATCTCCTTTAGAGCATCTCCTCAATACTGGACCTTCAAAGAGCTACAAAAAATTACCGAGTGCCTGCTGGAAGCTAGGCAATGGTCTTACTTTACATTCGGTATTTTTTTTTGAGTCTTTGATTTCCTCAATAGCAGTTACTTGACGATCGAGAAAAGATCTTGCTTTCCAATTATCTGCAAGATTTCACAACATACTCAATGAGTGCTCCTGTTCTTTTGCGTGAAACAGTCAAGCTTGTCTGGGGCAGCCCCGAATTAACTTGTTACTTCTACGTTCATTTAGTAGTTACATGTTTTTTAATAAAGAAAAACAGGTCAGGTTTGCCACAGAGGAGATGAGTTGTAGAGCCCCAGCCAAATTATTCCAGCAGTATCCAAACACCTGGCCGCCACAAATGATTACTTTAATGTATTCCTAATGAGGACTGGATTCAGACCAAGATGAAGATGCTTAACCCAGTAAGGAAAATTTCCTCAAGTTTTCCTAAAGGATCACACATTTTTAATATTAGTGTGAAGGAAGAAATTATAATACTCACTTTTTTTTTCCCCTTTCTCCCTGATCAGAAATGCTAGCTGCCAATCAGGCCTAGAAAATCTAGCGTTTTTAAAATTGTGAGCTCTGTGCTTTTAAAACTAGAGGAAGAAGCTCTTGGAGCAAGGGCTGCTCTTCACAGTCCTGAGCAGAGGAGAAAAGGCAGGGGATCTGAATGAAGGTGAAGGTGACTGCCACACCTCTCACACGATTTCTTTGTAAAATGTACGCTGTGATGTGTACAGCAAATTGAAACTCTGAACCCAAACAGTCTAACTCTAGAGCAGAATATTCATTAAGTTAGCAATTTCTCAGAGCATAAAACTACTGATTTTTCAGAGCTGGGATACAGCACTATATTCTCATTTACATTTATTAATAATCTACCGAGCACCTACTAATAAGTCCCAGGCCCTGTGCCAAATGCACATTTTCTTATTGGAACACATGCATCTTTCCACTACTTTGATGGGGGAAATCGGAACGCAGAGCATCCAGTAGACGGCCCAAGGCTCACAGTTAGGAGGCGGCAGGGGCAGGGTGTGAACCCAGAGCTCCACGCGGAGCAGCACTGTCCCCCTTATACAGAGGAACTGGAGCCCGGGAAGGCACGTTGCAGAGAATTCCAAGGGATTCTGGTCAGTGCTCTCTCTGGTGGCACGCATCAAAGACGCCAGCCACTTCGAGGACCGCTGAATCTGCTGGGCTGGCAGAAATGCAAAGGAAGCAGCCAGCCCCGAGTTCCTTCCTATCTGACCGCAGGCCCACAGGCCGGGAGCTTCCTGGGCAGGACAGAGAGAGGGCGAGGGAGCCCACCGGGAGGGAGCGGGGGGGGGGGGGGGGGCGCTGGGCCCTGACAGGTCAGCCAGTGCACCCTGCCCCACACCCTCCTCGGCACTTCGGCCACTGCCTTCACGCGGCTGGAGGCACACAGGCGGCTGCCCGCCCTCACTCCGGATGGGCGGGCGCCTACCCACGGGCGCTCCGACAGGTTCCGACCCCAGCGCCCCATTCAGTCCACTGACAAGCAGCGGCGTGCACCCCCGTTCCCGGCAGCCAGCCGGGGGGTGGGGGGGTCTGAAGATCACCCAACAGCCCGGGGCAGAAGCAACGGCAGGTGCAGACAAGTGGGGAGCACAGCGCCTGTCTTTAGAGTCGGACCCATGTAACACCCAGGAGGCAAGCGGCAGCGCCCGGCTGGCACCTGCACCTCCAGGAGGCCGCGGAAAGGAAGAATCCCGCAGGGCCGGCGGCTTCCAGGCCCCGAAGCCGCTCTCCTCCTCCGCACCACACCCCTGCCCCGTCTCCCAGTTCGGGGGCCACGACTCGGGCCCCAACGTGACCCGGAATCCCAACTCTGAAATCCCAGGAGCTCCAGCGACGGAACCAGTCCTTACCCGGGGCGGCGGGGCGGCGGGGCTCCGGGCGCAGGGGTGGAGTCCGGGGCTCCTCCCCCCAGAAAACCGAAAGCCTCCCCCAAACCGGGGACTGGGTCTTCCCCGCCTCCCCCGCCCTAAGCACGCACACGCCCCGCACCCTCCGCCCCCGCTGACCCCCCGCGCGGGCGCACCTGTCCCAGCCACGCGCACGGGCACACTTGCCCTCGCCAACGAGCCCCCCGCCCCCGCCGACACACCTGCCGGCCGCGCCCCGCCCCCACCCCAGGCGCCCCTCCCTCGCCGCCCCCCGCGGCCCCCCGCGCCCCGCCCGGCCCCGCCACCGCCCCCCGCGCTCACCCGCGCGGCGCCCGCCGCCCTCCGCCGTCCCGCGCGGCCCTGCGGCCTGGGGCCCCGCGCCGCCCGCCGCTCCCGGCCCGCCGCTCCTGGGCTGGGCTGGCCCGGCCCCGCCGCCGCCGCCGCCGCCGCCGCCGCCGCCGCCGCCGCCGCCGCCGCCGCCGCTTCCCGTCACGTGGGCCGGCGGAGGGCGGGAGCGGCGGGCCCCGCGCAGTCCAGCAGGGCCTGCGCCCCGCCGCCCCGGGAGCCCCCCGAGCCCCGCCTGCGCCCCGGCCTCCGTTTCCTCCCCCCGCCGGCCCGCCCCGGGGCCGTGTAGCACCTACAGCATCGCCTGCACGGCGTGGCTGCCCCGGAGCTGCTGGCGGGGACTGTCTCCCCCACCGGCGCGCACAGCTTCAGGAGAGCACGGGCCCCGCCTGGGCTGTTCACCCCCAATTTCCAACCCGACGCAGCGCTGGGCAGTGCGGGCTCTCGGGAATCCCTGCTGGATGAATGAATGAACCGGCCAACCAGTCCGGGAAAAGCCTGGCTACGCTGCCGTCTCCCAAGGTCGGGCTTGCAGAGTTGACGCGCTCGTGGTGTTCACGGTGGGGCTGAAAGGTCCGGTGGGGCGGCCGCCGCCCACCAGCCCCGGGCCCACCGGCCCCAGGCCCACCAGCCCCAGGCCCACCGCTGGCCCAGCGAATCCGCAAAGGAATCCCCAGAGAGAGCTGTATATTTGAATGACGTGTTTATTTTAAAAGGGAGTCCTGGGTCTATCTTACCCACTCTTTTTACTAAAGCCTATCAGTACCTGTTCCTCTGTGTCACCAGCCACAGTGAAGAATCCTGGGGTACCAGAAATCCATGAACCTGTCTCTTCAATATATAGTCCAAATCCAATGTTGAGATGAAACAATTAGGAAGCTCCCTCCATCGTTGTCAGCATTCAATTATTAGCATAGAAAAGGCACATTTTTCTCAATGGTTTTTCCTGACTTTAGAATCCACCAGTGACCGATGGCCTCAGCTTTCTTCTGGCCCCGCAGGGACTGTAAAACAAAGATATTATCCTGAACCAGGAGGCAAACACACTGCATTCTACTCTGTGGTCTTGTTTCAAAGGGAGGACAAGTGACACCCCCACCACTACGACAAAGGTAAATGAATGAAATAACCATCAAGAAGCAATCTTCTTGTGTGGCTTGTCCTTCACTCCCCCAACCCCCCCCCACCCCGTGAGTTCATGGCCACACACATGACCTACCCCCAAACAGTGCTTCAGTTCTGCCCAGTGGAACCAGCTTAACCTCTGACTGGGAACTGGTTTCCCGAAGTGTAGAGAGCTATGACTAGCAGTTGCACTTCAAGGCCTAGCTCAGTGAAAGGACTCAAGTCTAAGGAGGCCAGCAGCCAGCGGAGCCAAGGAGCAGAAAGGCACACAAGCAAATCCAGCCCAGTCTCATTTTGCCCAGGCTCAGGGAGAACATGTGAGTAGTCATCAGCTAATCACTGACAGAGCTGGGCCTAGAATTTGTGGTCTTTCATTTTAGTGCTCTACTGTATCATCAGATGGAGAGCTGCACAAAACTGCTTGCAGAGGTGACGATCTCCTAAATGCCCAACATTGGGCTTACAGAAATGATCTCATTCGAGCCTTACCATATCCTTATGAAGTGGACATTAGTAATGTCTCCATTTTATAGGTGAGCTGACTGAGGCAAAGAAAACTGAATGATTTGTCCCCAAATCCATGGTGGTAAGAATAGAGCAGGAATAAGAATACAGAATTCAGCACAGTGAATTTAATTGATAGAGCATTTGTGTTCTGCTTTAAACAATCTAGAAGTAAAAAATGTATATTAACTAAAAAGAGGGGAAAGGGGCAATTCAGAAATAATTATTCCTTTGTGAAAGGATTTACCATAGGATTCTTAGAATGGCAAGTTGCATATGTACACACTATTCCACCTAGAAACATTTTTTTCTTCCTGGAACTTTCTGAGAAGCCTGTATCACATATGACACCTGGATGTAAGTAACTATTCCATAAACATGCAAATATCTGCATCAGGCTAATTCTAAATCCCTCCTGTTGTTTTATTTGGTTACATTGAAGAAGAACTATCAAAGTCATGTTTTTCAAAGACATTTTTAACTTCATTTATTACTATTTAGTAAATATCCCTTGGGCCCATACTAAACATTTTAAGAGTATTTTAAAGAATGTGCAAAAGATGAGTTCTAACAGATTAATGATGATTAGGAGTTGAATTGATACCAGTGAATCCTTTCATAGTTGCTAACTGTTCCCCAAACTCAATTTCCTCTACTTCCACCTCCTCACACTTCCTCTGGCTCCTTCCTTCCTCACTGGCTATAAGCTCCTGAGGGCAACGAGTGTGTCTACCATGTTCTTGTGGTGTCTATCTGCATTTAGGAAGCACACAACCAATTTTGAAAATTCCTGATGCTCAATATTAATAAACTAGGTCATCTTTAAAACAGGTTTTTAATGCTAAGATTTGTTACTCTCATTTATAAACTTTCAAGGATTATAATCCTCTCAAGGATATATATTATCCTTGTTAAGATACCTTTTGAATGTTTGGATATCATTTTAGAAGGTGAAGTTAAGCAAAGAAACGTTACATTTGTAATTTTTTTTTAATTTATGATAGTCACAGAGAGAGAGAGAGAGGCAGAGGGAGAAACAGGCTCCATGCACCGGGAGCCCGACGTGGGATTCGATCCCGGGTCTCCAGGATCGCACCCTGGGCCAAATGCAGGCGCCAAACTGCTGCACCATCCAGGGATCCCAACATTTGTAATTTTTTTTAAAGCAAATTTAACTCACTATATGCCATGTTTTAAGAGCTTTCATGTGTATTAGCTCATTTAACTATATATGTACATATATTTATTTACCTGCAATCTAGATCCAGTAGCTACTCCTATGTACCAGGTACTATGGCAGAAGCTGCTGGGGATCCTGAAATGAGAAAGACACAGCTCCCCCTCAAACAGCTTAATTTAGTGCAGTGCTTTATAAAGTATGGTCAGTAATCAACAGTATCAACATCAGCTCAGAACCTGCAAATGCAAATTCCCATGTCCCTACTCCAAACTTCCTAAATCAGAAACTGTGGGGTGGGGCCCAGCAAAGTTTTTCATAAGTTCTCCATGTGACTCTAATACTCGATTTTGAGAACCCCTGATTTAGTGTAATATGTGGAAGAAATACCGACCCACCTAATCAGACACTAAGGCAAAAAAAAAAAAAATAACATGCTCTAGAAGTTTGGTCATAGGAAAGCTCAGTTAGGAAGTGCCTGAGAATTTGGAAAGCTTTTTGCTCCTATTAATTCAGTGCATTATTGGTCTTATACTGTGTGCAAGGCCCTGCACTGGGTGCCGAGAAACCAAAGACTAAACACTGTTTCAAGGAGCTCATGAAGGGGTGATCTATGGGATGAGTAGTTGAAGTCTCTGAATGCATCTTTATTATGATCTGATTATGAAAGGAATAAGAAAGGACAATAAAAATATCACCATTAATTACTATGGTGGTACTAAAAGTAGTTATTTGGAACTCAAAGCTGAACAGTGGTTCCAAATACAAAAATATTTGAACAAGTATCTTAAATATCATGCTACCAATAAGAAGAATCAACACTTAAAGTTTTTGGTACGTATTTCATTCGTGATTCATTCATTCAACATTTATTGAGTACTTACTAAATGTAAGCATCGTGTGTGCTACAGACCAGGTGGGAGAGTCAAAAGGAATGTACGGACCCCGTCCTACAGGAACTCACAACCCTGTGAGGTAATGATGCCAGGCATGGCAGTGTTTGTTGGTACACCTCAGTTTGTTTTTGTCAACGATAGACACCAAATAAAAATGTTAAAGAATGAAACCTCATGATCTTAAAAATTGTGGGTTACTATAGAATGCTCACAGAGAACAGCGTAGCAGGAATGAACTTCTGTCTACAAACTGAAATGTGTTAACAAAAAGAATTTTTTCTATAACTGAGAAAAAGTTATTTCTCTGTTATGAGTTATTTCTTTTTCAAGCCTCCACCCAGCTGCAGTGACAATAATCTCACCAATGGAAGCCCCGTCTCTTCCCCAGGGCTGTATTAATTAGGTCGGGGAATTTCTGAAGAGCCAAGATGGGAAGCAGGAGATTCAGGTCCTAGCATCACTGGTCCCCCACAAGGGTTTGGAGATGTTCCTTGTCCACTCTGGTGTTTGGTGTTCTGTCTCATGGTTTTGGTGCTGAGAGGCCTGGTTCTTTCAATCAAGGTGACAGCCTGGCTTGAGGGTCGGGGAATGTCTGTCTTCCTTGCCCTGTGATGGGGACAGAATCTCTGTGAGATGTGAGATATATTTGAAACATCACCTCAGAATTTGTTAGAAATGCAAATTCTCCCCCAATCCAACTTCCTACACCAGGACTCTGATTAAAGCCAATCACCTGACCACAAATTCTCTGAGCCTCCACTCTCCCAGGCTCTGTCCAGGATGGAGCAGGGGCAGGCTTTACCAAATAGTCTCTCCTTTGCGGAGTATTACAATCTCATTCTACTGCCTCTTCTCTGAATCTTGATGTCTTTTTCCTGCCCCAGGGAACGCTCCATCTACAGATTTTTGGTTCAGAGGCAACTGGAAATATCTTAATGGATTTAGTTTTAAAGCAGAGGAGTACTTCTGGGAAATTAAGAAAACTAGACAGGGCTTACCTGTCACAAAACATTTTTGCTGATAAAAAGCTTGGGGCTTTAGGTGAGGTGATTGGTCTAGAAAACCACAAGGAAAAAGATCAGACAGCAAGGATGTATAATCATACTTTCAGAGTCTTAAACTCATTTTTCCCCACCCACACCACCATCCTGCCACTTGCCTCCTTTGATGACAGTCAGGAGGCTGTCACTGACTACCTGTCACTATCTCCAGGTAGTGGCAACAGAGGAGACACTTTACAAACTCTAGTTCCAACCTCACAACACTGTGGGATGGCCCTACAATGTCCACTTCACAACTGAGCACACTGCAGTGGGGAGACATGAAATATTTGTGCTAGGTGAGTGCTGGAGCCACCCAAAGCCTGCGCTTTCTGCACTTCTCTAGGCTGCCTCATAATTATAGTTGAATGCTTTCTAAAAACCAGCTACCGGTTAATAAGCATCTGCTCTGTGCCAAGCAAGTTATATAATCTGTACTCCTTTGATAATTCTTCACAGATGTTAGCACAGCATTTTTTTCCGATAAGATTGAGGCTGAGGGACTCAAGGTCTTGTTTTGCAGCCGGTCTAGTTTTCAAGCCCAGGCTTCTTCCAAGAGAACTGCTTTTACCATTAAAACAACGTGCCTTCCGGCAAAGGAAATGAGAATACTAATTTCACTATTGTTATGAAAATGTAATCAGACTCTAGATATAAAATACTACCATCCTAATACCATGAAGTTAATACACTTAACCCCAGATCAGAACATCCAAATACCTGCCTCGGCTAGGCTCTAAAACTCTGTCCTAGTTCGGGCAAGTCATTCAAATGTCCTTCAGGTCAACCTCCTCAACACTAAAACGAAAGAAGTGGCCTAACTTAAGTTTCTGCCCAGCTCTGAAATTCAATTTCTAGATAAAGTGTCGTCTACATAAATGATGAAGAAAAATTGCAAAAACACCCCTCAGCTTTCCTTTATCTTTCTGATTTGGCATCTCACTTATTTTCCACTTTTTTTTTTTCAAGGTTTATCTTTTAGCATCCTCAGAGTCATTCCTGTGCCTTAAAGCAATAATTTCCCATAAAATGATACATCATAGAAGATGCAAACAGCACTTAGAACACTTCCGCAAGTTTTAGATGTGCTTAATGTTTTGGGATGTTATCTGCCTTGCACAAAAGATGAAAAACAAGTAGAAGAGACTTCTTGGGGAATTACCAGGGATTGGATCACCACTGTTTCACCGGCGGTTTTATTATTATTTTCACACGTGAGCAAGTTTGTTAGGAGTATTACTTCAGAGAATTCTTGAGCACCTACGATGTGCGGAGCCATGGGCTTACAAGGAATTAAGGTATCTGGTCTTACATCATCCTACTGAAAAAGGTTTAAGAGAAGTAGGTTGAAAAAGAACCAAAACAACGGCAGCCACGAGCGACGCCATATTTAGGTCAACGGACTCCCGGCCGCCCCGCCGCTTTCCCGCGAGACTGTTTTTAGGAATCCCTTTGGCCTCTGCCATTGGACGTCACAGGAAGCGCGACCAACCGTGGCCCCACGCTCCGGGAACTTCGTTTTTCCCGTCCCTTCTTGCAAGACGTCAAACGCCAGTCATTTCCTCTGCAGAAGTCCCTTCCACTTCTTTCGGCCCCGGGAGTCTCCCCTCCGCCAGATCTCTCCCAGCACCCCTGCAAGCCACCACAGGCGGAGCGGGGCGCGCGGCGCACCCGGGATGACGTCACATGCAAGGCCCCGAGCGTTACGTCACTTCCGGGACGCTTCCTTCGTGGAGCCTTGTGGGTAGCCGGCCGGGGTCTCCTGGCGACGACGATGGCGGGGGATGTGGGCGGTCGCAGCTGCACGGATTCGGAGCTGCTGCTGCACCCGGAGCTGCTGTCTCAGGAGTTTCTTCTCCTCACCCTGGAGCAGGTCGGGTGCGCAGGTCGGGGTGGGCCTGTTTGGGAGCGGGGTCCGGACTTGAGCCGGCCCGGGTAACCCTCGGGGGGAGCGGACACGCCCGCCGCCGGCGCCTCTCCCGCCCCGTGTGTGTCACTGACTACTCCACGCGGACTGACCGGGTCTCCTCACACCCCGGTCCGGGAAGACACGTGCTTGGAATATCAGGAATTCCTCGGAAGGAGGACTTACCTTTTTGGGTCTTTGATGGCTCCGACGGAGGAACCGTAGGCGACCCCTGCGGCCCCCAGCGGGGGCTGAGGGGGGAATCGAAGTAGAAATGAAGGGCGGTGGTCAGGGCCTGTCAGGGCTGGAATCGCCCTTTGTTCATCTCTCACCTCGTTAAAGACGAAACTCAGCCTCGGAGAAGTGAAGCGACTTATTTCAAAGGTCGCTACGTGGTGCAGGCAGGAGAACTCGGGACCCCTGGCTCCCAGGGCAGCATTTCTTCTTTTCGAGCTAATATAATACGGCCTCAGATAAGTCAACAAAAAATAGGACCAGAAAAGTGATGAATATGGTTTAAAGTGGTAGAGAATTGCTGAAAGTTCCTCTGTGGCTTGAAATACCACGTTTTGTTGCTTTCCCTGTTTGCCCCTCAGTACTCAGATTTCCTCAAGCCCTGTTGAGTGTGTTTATTGACGGGACTTAACCTTTCAAACACGGTTCTCACGCTTTTTAGGTGCATCCCCCCCCCCCCCCTCCGGCCAGGGCCTGTTAGAACACGGATTACCGGGCTCCAGCCCCACAGTGTCGGATTCGGGAGGTCCGGGGTGTGTCCTAAGAGTGGACATTTTCAGCAAGTTCCTGCTGTTAGCCTGGGGCCCGTAGCTTGAGCACCTCCCCTGGAGCAGTGCTGCCCAAACTAAGGTGCCAGGGAATCCTCTGGGAATGTTATCCAAGGCAGTCTCCTGGGTTTTTCCGTATCTCTGAGTGAGTAGAGGGTGAAAACTGATAGCAAAGGGTAGTCAGGTATAAGAGAGAAAAGTAATATTTGTGCTTTTAAATATTGAAGAAAAAAGTAATCGGGGTAAGGTTATCAGAGGACACAGATTGGGCTTGTTTTGCCATTTATACTGAACACAAATGTTCCCAGGCCTTTCTGAATTGCAGATGAAGAATAAGTGTATCCTCATTTTTTCTTCCTAAATCCAAACTCTCTATCCATAACTACTCCTTTTCCTTTTGCCACATTTTCCATGATGTTGAGAGGAAATTGAAAAGTGAGGGAGAATGAGGCAGTTTAGATGGGTGGTTGGACAGTGACTGGAAGCTACTTGAAAGGACTGGTGACAACATGATGCACTGTTACCAAAACAGGCATCAGTAAGGGGACTGCAGTGTCCATCTGTAGGGCCACTTGGAATCTTGGTCGTTGACTCCAATTTAAGAAGCATTTTTAGGGAGACATAGGAAACAAAATACAGGGTGAGACCTGCAGCCCACTACTTTGATCATGATAGTAACACACTGTGTAACTCAGAGTGTAGTGATTGTTGTCAGCGGGCGGGGCGGGGTGGGGGGGGTGCGGTGTTGATTTCTCCAGGCAGTCTCCCATCTTCAGTTTACTTCATAGACTAAGACGATGCTACTGTAAATGGTCTCCATGCCTGGTATGCTGACTGACCTGTGGTGGACTGCAGTCCTTGTCACACTGGGATCATGTGACCATTGTCTTTTAAGATGAGGCTGAGCCTAATATTTGCAGAGCATAACTATAATACTTACAGTATACTCTGTGGATCTGCATAGATCCTGGAGACCTGGGATCAAGCCCCACGTCAGGCTCCCTGCGTGGAGCCTGCTCCTCCCGCTCCCTGTGTCTGTCTCTCTCTCTCTGTGTGTCTCTCATGAATAAATAAAATCTTAAAAAAAAAAAAGTACCTGTATGACTTAAATAACAGGCTTAAATAACAAATTCTATAATTATAGTGATTATGTAATAATTGTAAAATTATAAATTATGACTTGTGTTACATTAAACTTTACGTATTATAATCTTGTGTTATAAATCCTAAGTAAATAAGTTACACAGCTTAAATTTTATGATGGTAAATAAATTGCAAATTACATCATTATTAAACTTCATGAAGTTTGTTACTTAAGCAGAAATGTTCTACCCTGTTAGGTAGGTAGTAATTACCATGAAGAATGTTATTTTGAAATTACTTTTGTTTTCTTTTCCACAGAAGAACATAGCTGTCGAAAATGACGTAAGAATAAACAAAGACAATCTCACTGATCTTTATGTTCAGCACGCAATACCGTTGCCTCAGAGAGAGTTGCCAAAGAATAGATGGGGAAAAATGATGGAAAAGAAAAGAGAGCAACATGAGATGAAAAACGAGACTAGAAGGTACTTCTTAGCGGTTCTGGTCTTTATCTTACATGACTTAACAACTTCGCTTTTCTTTTTTTTTTTTTTTCCTCCAGGTAAACTTAGGTAAGAAACATTTGTTTACTCAATAACTATTAAGCACTAGGCACTGTGCTTATAGCATGAGTGAAACTGACAGAATTCCCTGCTCTTATTTTAATTGGGAGAAACAATTTAAAAAATTAGGTAGAACATATGCTGTGTTACATAGTGACAAGTGCTAAGGAGAAAAGTAAAATGGAGAGAGAGTACCGTTTTAGGTACAGTGGCCAGGAGCAACCTCACTGATAAATGACATGTCAGGAGAGAAACCTGTAGAAGGTAGAGTGCAAGCTAGCATTCGAAACAGACTATGAGAGTCTGGGTCAGGAGTGTGCCCATCATAAACCAAGAACAATAAAGAGGCCATCAAGGCTAAAGTAGAGAGAATCAAGGGGAGAGTAAAGAGGCTTATTGGAGGTAAGTAGGGGAGCTTGTTGGTTAGATCGTGTAAAGCTTTGTAAGTTGTAAGAACTTTGGCTTTGCTCTGAGATAAGAAGCCATTGAAGGATTTTGAGCAGAGTGATGACACCATCTGATATGCATTTTCACAGCATCACTCTGGCTGCTGTACTGAGAAGTGATTTAAGATGTGGGGAGGGGAACAGGGAAATCAGTCAGGAGGCTATACTGTGATCCAGGCAATGGATATGGTAACTTCATAGATGGTGACTTCGACTGAAGTCGTGAACTTCATAAGAAGTGGTTGGAGTCTTGGATGTATTTTGGAGGTAGAGCCAAGATTTGCTGAGTTGTGAGAAAAAAGTGGAGTCAAATAAGATTTTAAGGTCTTTGAATAATACAGAAATGAAGGAGCTGTGGTATTGCTTCAAGGACACTGAAATTTTTAAATTTCAAGAAGTTTTTCATAAAACCACAAGCAAATGAATTTTCTTTTTAAAAGAAGGTTACAGGGCAGCGCGGGTGGCTCAGCGGTTTAGCGCTGCCTTCAGCCCAGGGCGTGATCCTGGAGACCCGGGATCGAGTCCTGCGTCAGGCTCCCTGTATGGAGCCTGCTTCTCCCTCTGCCTGTGTCTCTGCCTCTCTCTCTGTGTGTCTCTCAGGAATAAATAAATAAAATCTTAAAAAAAAAAAAAAATAAAAGGTTACACTTCTTTGATAGTGATAGTTTAATGAGGACAAAATGAGTTATTTCTTTTCCTATGTCTATTTTATCACAAGTGGGTGCTATGGATTAATTACTGAATTCATTTTTAGAGCTTTCTCTTTGTAAGGTACTGTCATCGGCAGTGATTGTGGGAGAAGGTGGAATGAGGGCTGAGGGTGAAGGAGAATGCTAGCTCTGAGTTGATGAGGGGTGTTAATCTCTAGTTACAAAGAGTCATTATTGATAGAGTATTCTCCAAGTATGTGAAAACAGTTGAAGAATATAACATGTGTGCTCTTAGTTTTTTGGAAAAGGAATAGTCTTTCTTTTGATCAGGAACACATTCAATTCAGGTTGAGTTTCATTTTAGCTTGATGGTTATATGTTGGTACAGGCTAAATATTAGTGTTAGCTTTTGTAAATCTATAGATTAGGCCAAATATATCTTCAATTTACTTTTGTTGAGTCATTTTTTTGGGAAAAGATTTATTTATTTCAGAGAGCATGAGTAAGTGGGAGGAGGAGAGGGAGAGAGAGGGAGAGAATCCTGAAGCAGACCCTGTGCTGAGTGCAGAGCCCAGAGCCCACTATAGGGCTCTGTCCCAGGATCCTGAGATCATGACCTGAGCCGAAATCATGAGTTGGCGCCAGGCACCTCTTATTTTTGTTGATTCTTAATAAGAAAGTATTTTTTTCTTGATCTGCACATTCAGGCATATTGTCCTAAGCAAAGCTTTCAATACTGTTACTTCAAATGATGATCCCTTTAAGCCCCTCAATGTCCTTTTGGAAGGGATTGTGACTTTGTAAAAAAGTTACAGATTTGACTCTTGAATCATCAGAACATTAAAGCTGGAAGGATCTAAGAGATCCAGGTATTGTTGAATTGCTTATTTTTCTGTGGAGGAAATGAGCTCCAGTAAATTGTTGTGATGTTCCTCAGGTCACACAGAGCTAGGCCCAGATCAGCAGTGCAGTG